TGGATGGATGGATGGGTGGGTGGGTGGATGGATGGGTGGATGAATGAATGGATAGGTGGGTGGGATGGATGGGTGGATGAATGAATGGATGGATGGGTGGGTGGATGGATGGGTAGATGAATGGATGGATAGGTGAGTGGATGGGTGGGTGGATGGATGGGTGGATATATGGAGAAATGGATGAATGGGTGAATGGATGGATGAATGAATCGAAGGATGAAGAAATGGATGAATGAAAGGATGGAGAAATGGATGGATGGATGGGTAGATGGAGAAATGGATGGATGGATGAGTGTATGGATGGGTGGATGGATGGATGGATGGATGGATGGATGGATGGAGAAATGGATGGATGGATGATGGATGGAGAAATGAATGGGTGGATAAATGGGTGGATGGAGAAATGGATGGATGATGGATGGCTGGGTGGGTGGATGGGTGACCCCTTCAGTTCCTAGGTGAAGCTGCCTCTTGGATGCAGGGGGAGTCAGCATTCTAGTTTTCCCAGGACACGGACCTTCCAGTCCTAAACCCAGGTAAATCCCAGGCAGACAGGGACACCCTATCCTCCCTCCCTCCATTCTTGGGATCAGCCGGGTTGGATCACCTCCTGGTCACTTGCTCACACTGTGCAGTTTATGATTTCCTTGTCATTTCATGCTTCATAGCCAGTCTCCTAACTTTGCTGAAGAGCACAGATCATCTTTCTTTGACAGGTCCTTTAGCAGGTATAAGACTCCAAGCAAGGTGACTGGGGACAAACTCCTGTGCTCAGGACCCCCTTCATCAGCTCTGCTGAGATACTTTAAGAAGGACAAGAACCTCATCGGAAAGCAACCGACATTGTGAAATTAGAAGTCAACACCCAGCCGCATCCAGGCCCTCACCTGCCAAACTCCAGGTACTGATTCCCAAAAACAGCCAACGCAAGAGTGGAAATGACCCTTAGAGTTTTAGGGTATGTGTTAGTTTCCTAGGTGACCATCACCAATCACCCCAACCAGGTGGCTGAAAACCAGAGAGGTTTGTTCTGGTACATTCTGCAGCCTCACCGGCCAGGATCAAGGTGCCGTCAGGGCCACGTTCTCTCTGAAGGTGCTTCTTTGCTTCTCTGAGCTGGGTTGCTGCATCCTTGGTCACCTCGGTCAGCCTCCACGGTCACCTGGCCTCCCTCTCCTTTTATCTGCCTTCTTCTAAGGATACCCGCCCGTCGTGGGAGGTAGAGCCCACCCTGAGCCCAGGAGGACGGCAGTGGAAGGTCCTGACTTCGTCACCTCTGCAAAAGTCACTTCTGCAGAAGGTCGCACTCTGAGGTCCCCGTGGACGTCAATTTGGGGAGACACCATGCGGCCCACTCCAGAGATTCATTGCCTTGAAGTCCCTCAGCGTCTGCTAAAAACATTCCCGGCTTGCCCAGCGCCCCCCTTCCACAGGACACCCTGCGGCCGCTGTAGAGGGGAGGCAGCCCCCATGGCCCCCTCGTGTGGCCGCTCTGTCCCCAGGCTCCCTGGAAGTCTGATGGCTCCGTGACAAGCCCCGTGTGCCGGTGGGAGCTGTGGGAGGGGAAACCACAGCTGCAGAATCTGAGAAGAAAAGTGCTGACTTCAACACCGAGACC